CATACAGGACCACAGTAAGAACACAGAGAGGAGAGAGAAATATAGGCCAGGAAGGATGCTGGGTTCCAATATTTTGAGAATGCATCCTTCCTTCAAGTAAACACTGACTTAACATGGTCAGATAGTTAGGCGAAAGTAAGGATTACACGATTCAGCAATAACAGCAATGCTGTCATGTCAGATCAGTGGTTATCAATGAGTAGGGCCAGACTGAATCTGTGTTTATTCCAAAGAATATGTACAGTGCTGTGAAAAAGTATTTGCCCCCTTTCTAATTTTCTCTACTTTTGCATATTTGTGATACTGAATGTTATCAGATCTTCAACCAAAACCTAGTATTAGATAAAGGGAACATAAGTGGACAAATAACACAACAATTACATATTTATTTCATAAACAAAGTTATGCAACACCCAATTCCCCTGTGTGAAAAAGTAATTGCGCCCTTACACTCAATAACTGGTTGTGCCACCTTTAGCTGCAATGACTCCAACCAAATGCTTCCTGTAGTTGTTGATCAGTCTCTCACGTCGCTGTGGAGGAATGTTGGCCCATTCTTCCATGCAGAACTGCTTTAACTCAGTGACGTGTGGGTTTTCAAGCACGAACTGCTCGTTTCAAGTCCTGACACAACATCTCAAATTGGGATTAGGTCTGGACTTTAACTAGGCCATTCCAAAACTTCCAATTTGTTGCTTTTTAGCAATTTTCATGTAGACTTGATTGTGTGTTTTGGATCATTGTCTTGCTGCATGACCCAGCTGCGCTTCAGCTTCAGCTCACAGACGGATGGTCTGATATTCTCCTGTAGAATTCTCTGACACAGAGCAGAATTCATGGTTCCTTCTATTAAGGCAAGTCGTCCAGGTCCTGAGGCAGCAAAGCATCCCCAAACCATCACACCACCACCACGCTTGACCTTTGGTATGATGATCTTACTGTGGAATGCAGAGTTTGGTTGAAAGGGAATTAGTGAAGTATCTTTGCTAGAAACACTTACAGAGTGTGCTACATCATCTTCTTCTGATCATCTCTAATGTAGGCTGGATGAATCAGCTAGTTAGCTAGGATATTCTGTCAAAACAAGCTAAATGACAAACAGTCAAACTGCAGTTTCCCCTCTTCCCTGTCCCTGACCGTGAGACAACACATGCTAGCAATCCAAAGTAACCTACTACTGGCGGTATTCATTTCAAACTCACTGCTCGGTGCCGGTGGACAGCTCGTGCATGAGACGAAGACGAGTGCAGCAACGCACTGCCGCATTCGCGGTGGCAAAAGGACAGGGGGAGGGGACTTTTTCCAAGATTCACGAGTTTGCGAAATTATCTAGTTTGATTGGCAATGTGTTGCATTTAAAGTTACAAGAAAGAAAAGAGACCAAAAAGAAAATAAGATCAGTAAAAACAAAAACGCCACCAATCAAATGTATAGGAGGGCAGAAGGGCAGGTGCCACTGCACCCCTAGGGCTCGATCTGTTTGAGGCAGTCCAGTAAAAACGTAAATGGACTTCCCTAGCACTAACCTAACAGGACAAAGGGAAGTAAAATTGAGATAAGGCAGAAAGGGAAAGAGGGGGTGGGATAATAGGTAAGTCAACCTGAGATGAGAGAGAGAGAGGGAGGGAGGGGGGGGGGGGGGGGGATGTAGGTAAGCAGATAGATACCCAACCTCTTTTGTTTAGTGCTACAGTTTTGTTTCCAAGAGAGTTGAGGAGATGTATTCATACTGTTTAGAGAGTGTGTTTCCTTGCTTTGTTCAGCTATGACGTGATATTCGTTTTAGGATCTGAGCGACTAGGGCAAAAGGCTCTCTGGTTTCATTTTCCTGCAATTATTGACTTCAGGGCCACAGTTGACTGGAATATCTGAGCAATGTGTATTGTTGTCAACTGTTGAAGTGAGACACCCGGCAGCGCCAGCAAAGCCATTAGGGCCATTTGATCCATTCTTTGGTTTGACAAGAACATAGAGTATGTACCGACTACAAAATACAGTTCAAGTTAATTTAACAGAATACATTTGTTTTTTTTCAACCTTGCACTGCAGATGTGTATTGTTGTCAATGAAAGGCAAAAGAAAGCATTCATATTTCAGGGACTTTTGAGGGATTATTTGGTCTGACAAGGAAGGACAGACAGTGTAGGTACATAAATAATATAGATCCAGAAGTTTACTCAGAAAAGCAAGGTATTCTATAATGAAAACTCTATACCTGTCCAAAAAAATATTTAGAGATACTGTATATTCAAAGATAATGAAAGGACATGGCAGATACTTTGTGCAGAGTCCCAAATAAGCTATAACGCCTAAGGTGCTGGTAGCCTGTATAGGCAAATAAACCTGACCCAGGTTTCAACTGTCACCAGGGCTGCAGAGTCACCAGCCAAGCGTTAAGTTTTGAAACCTGTTCGGCAGGGAGACCAGTTCGAGGAAATAAAAAACACACCTAACATTTAGATATAAACTATGCAATTATGTCATAGGTCATCATTATTAAGGCCTCCTGTAGCTCAGTTGGTAGAGCATGACGCTTGTAACGCCAGGGTTGTGGGTTCGATTCCCACGGGGGGCCAGTATAAAACATTTATGCACTCGCTCTGGATAAGATTACTAAAATGTAAATGTAAGATCATTATAGTGTATAGAGGGCAAACGATTACTGACAAATACCAATCCGGTATACAGTTTAAACTGACTCAGACATTTTAAACAATCACCTTGTCGTAGCGACAGGTGCAGTCCAGTGACCGTCGGAATAGTCTGACTCAACACTAAGTTAGAACGACGGGTCATGCACCTGAAAACGAACTCACCATTTTGAGGATAGTTTGAGTCCAATTCCAGTCGTCAATGATAAATAAAAGTTAGTAAAATAATTTCACCCTTGCACAGCGTGTCAGACAACTTGAAGAGCGCATAGCTGTCGTCGTTCCACCCTTGACGCTGTCTCCGACCTCCGAAAAGAAAATGGAAAAACGATTCTCTCCTGACCATTCCCTGCAGGAATAGCCCTGTGTAGGCTACGTCACCGATTCTCGGCCTCTGGATTGGTTGTCAGCATTACACCTGTTCAGGAGTTGTACAGTACCTTTGATAATATCTGAGGTGATACTGTACTAGACTAGACCTATAGCCTACGGATGCAAAATGTGCTAAATTAAAAGTGTTAAAATTACATTACCAGTATGGCTACTGAGGTTATTATGCAGTTTAGCTTTTTTGTTTTAGCACTGATAAACTGATCATGTGCAGAGCAGACTTAGGCCTATATGTTTTACATTTGTATATAACATATATTTTTTTAAAGTAGCCAAAAGAATCAACGAATGATTGTGTCACCTGACAAAGTGTTTTATAGGCTAGTGCAGTTGTTCTCAGAAAAGACTAGAGAGGGCAACACTAAACTGTCAAATGAACTAGTAGGCACACGTGACGTTTGTCTGTCACAGTCCATGCTACAGTGGGCTTGGCAAACTGGCCACAACTCAACAGGCTTTGGAGAAGAGAGCACTTGATCATGAAAAGAAATGTCTTTCTATCGCAATATCGTCTGGTTTCTCAAAGGAATTCACGAATACACAAGGTCAGTTAATTGGAAAATGGTGACATAAATCTGTTGTATTTTGTTTTTTAGGGATATGAGAAAGTAGTTGTTTTTTGAAGGTAGGCATTTTCTTTGTGGGTAGATGAGAAGGTAGTTGGGGGAGAAACTGTTTGCAAAGTGTAAACAAGTACCCATGTCTCAGAGTATTCTATGTTGCTCCTCGTTTATAATAATGATGAAATCTTTTTCTATTTGATGATCATTTGCAAGGATATTACTCCTACTGTTACAGTAGGCTATATGCAAATTTAGATCACTGTATGGCACTACCAGCCACACACACACACACACACACACACACACAACCCCTCTTTTCACTCACATTACAATAGTCCCATTGACAGATGAAGTGTCTTGTCATTTGAGGTTGCCTTCTCCTTTAGTCACCCCAACAGCTGACTCGTTTTATAAGAGCTGAGAGAAGAATCCTGACTTCAAACTCTAGGCTGAATGTATTTCAGTGAAATTTGCTCTTTGGGTTTTCATGTCATTGCAAAGAAAAGGTATGTCTACTTCAACATTCAATGTGATGGGATTGTTGCATTAGACAGATTGGTTCATGAATTGATTGATTGGTGTGTTGTGTTTCCCAACAGGAGTGGCTATGAGCAAGCAGCTAAACACTTTGTGGCCAAGGAGCTGGATGTGGCTGTGGTAGGAAGGTCCTTCATGATAACTGGGGCTAACAGTGGCATAGGGAAAGCCACCGCCATGGCTATAGCTAAGAAAGGTACGAAACCAGAGATTGGTCAGGAAGGCAGTTCCACCACCCTTGCACTGTGTAACGCTGTCATGCAGAAGTATCATGATTATTGAATGCACCAATTTGTAAGTCGCTCTGGATAAGAGCGTCTTCTAAATGACTTAAATGTAAAATGATTCTGTTTTACCAAAATCCCCTATTTTGTTTGCAAGGTGGTACAGTCCACATGGTATGCAGGAACAAGGAGAGAGCTGAGAAGGCCAAAGAAGATATTGTCAGGGAGACGGGGAACACAGTAAGCCTGATAAGAGTGTGTGTGTTTTGTGTGTGTATATGCATCAGTGGCATATCCAGAACATTTAAAAAGGGGTGGCCAAGGTGGGGCACAGACCCAGTATTTTATATAAGGGTATTAGCATTCACTTGAAAGTGCCATCCAGAGTACGAATTATACCGTGATTTTCGTGGGGTCTCTTTTTTAACGGGATGTGTGCATACACTTGGATAAAAATGTGTATGGGCCTTATAGTAAAGACATGTAATTTAACTGTAAAAATGTATTAGCTTTTAATGTGTCATGAATACAACCAGTCATGATGTTTTCATCTGATTGTCAAACAAATCACTTGAAAAAGTAGGTTAAGTAGGTTACCTGAGCACGTTTGTCTACTCCAAAATAAGTCCAAACAGTGCACTGTGCACCCGCCATTTGAATGGAATCTATTACAAACACCATAAGTGTAATGACATTCAGCCTACAAAGTGGTGTGTATTCATGGGTGCCAAAGGAAGCCAGGCTTACCCAAAAACTTTAACAATAAAAAAAGAAACCAACTTATAAAATTATTTCTCATTCGTGTCTATCCATGTTTCATAATTGTCCTTCAATTCGCAAGAGGCTGAATCTATTTCACCAGAAAAAGCATCCAAGCAAGGCAAACAGCACTCCTCTGTCTTAGTATCTGTAGCCCATGTATCTGATGCTGTCTGGCCAAAAAGAATATGACATGTCATACTATTTTCTGCCAGACAGCATCAGATACATGGGCTACACATACAAAGACAGAGGGGCGCTGTTTTGTTCGCTCGGATGCTTTCTCCGATGAGATTGAGTCTCGCTGTCGGTGCGCATCTTGGTCAAAATTATTAATATATTCAGAGACAACCTATCAGATCTCAGTATTTCTGGTGGGGCCAATCAGATTTCAGGTGGGGCCGTGGCCACCCCCTGGACACGCCACTGGTGTGCATGTACAGTGGGGGAAAAAAGTATTTAGTCAGCCACCAATTGTGCAAGTTCTCCCACTTAAAAAGATGAGAGGCCTGTAATTTTCATCATAGGTACACGTCAACTATGACAGACAAAATGAGAGAAAAAAATCCAGAAAATCACATTGTAGGATTTTTAATGAATTTATTTGCAAATTATGGTGGAAAATAAGTATTTGGTCAATAACAAAAGTTTCTCAATACTTTGTTATATACCCTTTGTTGGCAATGACACAGGTCAAACATTTTCTGTAAGTCTTCACAAGGTTTTCACACACTGTTTCTGGTATTTTGGCCCATTCCTCCATGCAGATCTCCTCTAGAGCAGTGATATTTTGGGGCTGTCGCTGGGCAACACAGACTTTCAACTCCCTCCAAAGATTTTCTATGGGGTTGAGATCTGGAGACTGGCTAGGCCACTCCAGGACGTTGAAATGCTTCTTACGAAGCCACTCCTTCGTTGCCCGGGCGGTGTGTTTGGGATCATTGTCATGCTGAAAGACCCAGCCACGTTTCATCCTCAATGGCCTTGCTGATGGAAGGAGGTTTTCACTCAAAATCTCACGATACATGGCCCCATTCATTCTTTCCTTTACACGGATCAGTCGTCCTGGTCCCTTTGCAGAAAAACAGCCCCAAAGCATGATGTTTCCACCCCCATGCTTCACAGTAGGTATGGTGTTCTTTGGATGCAACTCAGCATTCTTTGTCCTCCAAACACGACGAGTTGAGTTTTTACCAAAAAGTAATATTTTGGTTTCATCTGACCATATGACATTCTCCCAATCCTCTTCTGGATCATCCAAATGCACTCTAGCAAACTTCAGACGGGCCTGGACATGTACTGGCTTAAGCAGGGGGACACGTCTGGCACTGCAGGATTTGAGTCCCTGGCGGCGTAGTGTGTTACTGATGGTAGGCTTTGTTACTTTGGTCCCAGCTCTCTGCAGGTCATTCACTAGGTCCCCCCGTGTGGTTCTGGGATTTTTGCTCACCGTTCTTGTGATCATTTTGAACCCACGGGGTGAGATCTTGCGTGGAGCCCCAGATCGAAGGGAGAATATCAGTGGTCTTGTATGTCTTCCATTTCCTAATTATTGCTCCCACAGTTGATTTCTTCAAACCAAGCTGCTTACCTATTGCAGATTCAGTCTTCCCAGCCTGGTGCAGGTCTACAATTTTGTTTCTGGTGTCCTTTGACAGCTCTTTGGTCTTGGCCATAGTGGAGTTTGGAGTGTGACTGTTTGAGGTTGTGGACAGGTGTCTTTTATACTGATAACAAGTTCAAACAGGTGCCATTAATACAGGTAACGAGTGGAGGACAGAGGAGCCTCTTAAAGAAGAAGTTACAGGTCCGTGAGAGCCAGAAATCTTGCTTGTTTGTAGGTGACCAAATACTTATTTTCCACCATAATTTGCAAATAAATTCATAAAAAATCCTACAATGTGATTTTCTGGATTTTTTTCTCTCAATTTGTCTGTCATAGTTGATGTGTACCTATGATGAAAATTACAGGCCTCTCTCATCTTTTTAAGTGGGAGAACTTGCACAATTGGTGGCTGACTAAATACTTTTTTCCCCCACTGTATGTGTGCATGCGCATGTGTGTTTGTGTCAAACTCGTCTGTATACAGTATAAAGAACAACATCTGCCATACTGCGTTTATTGTATTACTTTAAATTACTTTTCACTCCAGGAAGTATACGTTCACCATCTGGATATGTCCGAGACATATAAGGTGTGGGAGTTTGCTGAATCCTTTAAGATGCAATACCCCACCCTCAATGTGTTGGTAGGCACCACACACTTTTTCTCTCCCTCTTCCACTTTTTATAGCTTTTTGCTAAACTCCATTATGGAGCATTGAGTGTGTTGAGAATGGAGTGAATATTAATTGAGTATGGAGTTATTATTGAGTGGGTTATGCTGTTTCTGTGTTGGTTCAGATTAATAATGCTGGGTGTATGGTGAACAAGAGAGAGGTGAGCGATGATGGTCTGGAGAAGAACTTCGCCACCAACACACTGGGTAAGACTTTCACTGTCTATACAGAATGATCAATTAGTTGTATAGGTATAATTCTCTATTCTTCTCCTCTCCTCTCGTCTCCTCCCTTCCATTCAGGAGTGTATCTTCTCACCCAGAGCCTCATTCCACTACTTCAGAAGAGCAGGGATCCGAGGGTGGTGGGTATATGTACACACGGATGGATAGATACTTTCATTCACTTTCTCTCCATCCATCTCTCTCACACACACACTTGCTCAGTACACACAACAAACAAACCAATGGTCTGGATATTGCGTGGGGCTATGCCATGGGAGTCAATATTGGCCAATATCCTGCAACATTGTCTCTTTCATCCATTCTGGCATAGCCATCTAGTGACTACCACCCTCTCACCCCATTCCCACCCCCTGTCCACCCAGATAACAGTAACATCAGGGGGCATGCTGGTCCAGAAGCTCCAACATGATGACCTACAGTCTGCAAAAGGTCCCTTTAACGGCACCATGGTCTACGCCCAGAATAAGGTAGGAGCGGAGAACAGGGTTCCAATGATGGTAGGGCACAGGAGGTTGGTGGGACCTTAATTGGGGAGGACAGACTCGTGGTAATGGCTGGAGCGGAATTAGTGGTATGGTATAAAATACATCAAACATATGGTTTCCATGTCTTTGATGCCATTCCATTTGTGCCGTTTCAGCCATTATTATGAGCTGTCCTCCCCTCAGCAGCCTCCACTGTGGTAGGCACACCTTGGCTGGGGGCAGTGGCGGCTCCTGAAAAAATTCTCAGGGGGGGCAATTTTTCTGATGATTTAGGTGACCTACACACATTTAAAAAAAGATATGTCCAGCAACAACATGAAGACAGGGGCAGCATAAGTCAATACCAGAAGCATTTATTGACTGATCTCAAAAGTGTTGGCTTACAAAAGCAAAATAAGTTATCACAGTAAAAATAATCAAGGGTGTTCTTTCACATTCCTCAACACTGCATAAACAATATGCATTTCCATAAAACACCTCATCTAATTGTGCCACAAAGTTGACAAGTCCAAGAAAAATACCAGGGTTGGTGGAGCCCTCAGTTTCATCTTTGCCTCGCAAAGCTAACTCAAACACTCCGCAAAACTTCACACACTGGATTAGCCGGCTGAGGATGTGGCGGTTCTTGCTAACCTCATCGTTGTGGCGGCGGACAGCTAGCCTGTATCCCTCATCCAGTTGAGTGGCAATGTTCACTCTCCCCAAAGCAGACAATCTCAAACCGCTATCCATGTGGGTCTTTGACAGCTCATGTTTCTTAATCTTTTCTGAAAGATGGTGCATGTCCGTTACACCAGTCGCTGTCCAAGCGGTGCTGTCTGCCGTGCCGCCTTCAGGGTGAAAGAGTAAGCAGGGGTAGCAGAAGACTGCATTAGCTACATCGCAGCCTGCTAGCCAGGTTTTTCGTTTTTCGTTTTTGGAAAATCCTCGGGTGTAGGACTTTCACCCTTTAGTAGAAACCTGTTGAATTATTAAATTTGGTCTGGGAGGTCCTAATTGTTTCGTTGCCAATTTATCTTGATTTGTTCGCCGACAAAAAGGAACTTATTTCAAAGAGACAATCGAGTTGCACTGAACGCTAGCCATCTTGACAGTAGTACGTGAATTGATTGACGCTGCTACCCGCTCTTTTCTTAGTTACGTTCATGGTTATGTTACGTATGACGAAAGCGCGTAAGTGCAAGCCCTCCCGGAACCCATAGAGATTGTATTGAAAGCTCTGATATTTGAAAAAAAAAGATTTTACATGAGAGTCTATGAGAGACTTCTGGGGCGATTTTCAACCTGACTGAAATCGCCCCAAAAGGGGCGGGGCCATTTGAAGCACGACTTTAGCCTGATTGGACATTTAGTGGCAGATCAGACGTCTAGATTAGAACACTGATAACTACTGTTGCCGTGATATAATTGATTAGAAAAAAAATCCCTTCCTTTTCCCGTTTGGCAGTGCGTCGCCCATATCGCCCTAATGAACACACCGCCCCTGCCTGGGGGTGCATGGCTGTGTAATGTTAGTGGCTACAGTCGATTTTTGTACAGCACACATTAAGACTGTCTTCATCCCATACGAATCTCAATGCTGCTTAACATTGTATTACATGGATGAGATGTTAGATACCTGTGTGATATGATCCAGTTAGTGAGTGTCAGTGTGTTGCTCTACCAACTGTTTGGCTCAGTAAGGAAAGCATGGCTCTTGCAACGCCAGGATTGTGGATTAGATTCCCGGGGCCACCCATATGAAAAATGTACGCATGCTTGACTGTAAATCGCTTTGGATAAAAGGGCCTGCTAAACAGCACATTATATACTGTATTATATTGTTGTCCCCTGTAGAGACAGCAGGTGGTGCTGACAGAACAATGGGCCAAACACCACCCAGCCATCCACTTCTCCGTCATGCACCCTGGATGGGCCGACACACCAGGTACCATGGGGAGGCCGGGGGATAGATACAGACAGACCAGGTACCATGGGGAGGCCAGGGGATAGATACAGACAGACCAGGTACCATGGGGAGGCCAGGGGATAGATACAGACAGACCAGGTACCATGGGGAGGCCAGGGGATAGATACAGACAGACCAGGTACCATGGGAAAGATACAGACAGACCAGGTACCATGGGGAGACAGGGGATAGATACAGACAGACCAGGTACCATGGGGAGGCCAGGGGACAGATACAGACAGACCAGGTACCATGGGGAGACAGGGGATGGATACAGACAGACCAGGTACCATGGGGAGACAGGGGATAGATACAGACAGACCAGGTACCATGGGGAGACAGGGGATAGATACAGACAGACAAGGTACCATGGGGAGACAGGGGCTAGATACAGATAGAAATCACACACAAAATAATGTATACAAACACATTGAATCATGTACTGTATAGTATATTAGGGTAGAAACTGATTGAAGATACTTTTATACAGATTGCAAATATATTGTTGATTGGAAATATAACAAAATATAACAGATTGTCTGATTGTTACACAGTTATTTGGTGCAGTCAGCTGACATCTCTCTCCCCTCAGCGGTTTCTACATCGATGCCCCAGTTCCACCAGATGATGGGGGAAAGGTTGCGTAGTGCAGAGCAGGGAGCTGACACTGTGGTGTGGCTGTCACTGTCTCGCACTGCTGGCAAAAGACGCAGCGGAAAGTTCTTCCAAGGTGGGCACCAGTGTGTCGGTGTGTTTGAGTACCAGTGGGGAGGGGATCCCCTAAAATGTTTAAATGAATTGCATTTACACGTTTACTTCATTTAAATCAACAACTAGGGCTGAGCAGAAAACGCCAATGTATTCCCTGCAGCAGTCAGTGCACATTGTAACACTTACTGAAGGCCAATAGATTACTGCCAACACTATGTAATGGGCTGGGTGTGATTTTTCTCAGATCGGCGGGCGGTCCCGGCCCATCTGCCCCTGGCCTGGACCCACAGTTCCCCTGAGGAGGTCCGGTCCTTCATGACCCAGCTGGATATCTTGGCCCAGGCCGCAAAGCAGCCTCGCACTGACACACAACCCAGTTTTGACCCAACTTATTGAAAGGTCTTGTAACCCACCAGCACCATAACACAGAGTATATTTCCAGTCTCAAGCTGCGACCCCAATGTAACCAAACAACCACTTTGATAAACTCTTTCTTACCTAGATAACCAATTCTAATACTAGCTGAATTGATTCAGCTCTTAGGAATCCTAACTTCCACTTAAGTCACATTTTCACTTCAGTCATGCATTGATATTAATGGACATCGCCCCTTAGTACTTTTCACTATTTATTGTTCAGAAAGTTTAAAGCTTCAGTACGTGACCACAGACCTTGAGGTGGTCGGTAGCTCATTCTGACGCTACAATTTGAACGTTTCAATTTCATTTGAGTATTCATGGTTTCTCATTTGACTCTTAAGTATCCCTAACCTGTCCTCAATGTCTTTCGTTGGTAATAAAATAACTTGATGGACTTGAACCCAGATTGTGTATCTGTCTGAATTCAACGATTTTGTAGCTAGTGTAAGCCTGAAGGATCAGCATAAAATTACCATGTTTCAAAGTGGGTAATAAATAAAGCCTCAATATTCAATATTTTTTATTTATTTTTGTAGCAATCCACATTTGCCGTTTTGTTTTTTTAATATTTCATTTTCTCATTTTTATACAGTATTGAAAACAAAAACAAAAATAATGTGGTGCATTCACATCTTTCCCAAGGGATTCTTTTTAAGGTTGATCTCTACAAGGGTAAAACGGTGAAAAGCTTGAAGCTGGAATCCATACATGTTGAAGTTCTCACCGGGAGTAAGAACAAGAGTAGTGGGCCTGATTTAAAATCATCTACAACGCTTCATGGATTTTGTTTGTTGTAATCTTTTTGCCATTTACTTCTGGATTTTATTTTTAGTAAAGGGAGGAGTCAGCTTCCCAGCATTTATCTTTTAAAACAAACTTCCCAGTCCATGCGAACAGTCCAAAAAACACCCCTCCATCCATCTCTCCTCATCCACAACGCTCCTCTCCTCCACTTATGCAACGTAGGTGTAGACTTTTCGGTCCTCGGGCGTCCGTGCCAAGTATTCTCTCTCTATAAGTCCTTCAATGCGCTTCTTAATGACCACGGGGCTGGGGAGGAACCGGGCCCGCAGCTGCTGGGTTACCTGGGGAGAGAGGAAGTACAATAACACTACTAGACTCTACACTATTGTTTCTCTGGTTCAAAAGGTTGTGCTGAAATGTCCCATACTGTAATATGTGCTGAAATATCAAGCACTGAAATATCATGTGCTGAAATATCCAACTTCTGAGGAATTAGAAATCATAACATGATTGGTGAAAGAACAGCACAGAGATTATAGCTGGTACTCGTGTTCAACGTTAAAAGAGTCGCCTCAAAGTACTCACTGAAATACTTACAGACAGGAATAAAGAACTCTGGGAAGAAGAAAGGCGGGTGTGTATGTTTCATGATTAACTACTCATGGTGTGATTGTGATAACATACAGAAACTCAAGTCCTTTTGTTCACCCGACCTAGAATACCTCAATCAATGGCCGACCGTATTAACTCCCAAGAGAATTCTCTTCGGTTATAGTCATAGCCGTGTATATTCCCCCTCAAGCCAATACCACGACGGCCCTCAAGGGCCTGCACTGGACTTTATGCAAACTCAAAACCACATATCCTGAGGCAGCATTTATTGTAGCTGGGCATTTTAACAATGCAAATGAGAAAAACGCTACCGAAATTCTACCAACACATTGACTGTAGCACTTGCTCTGAGAAAAGACCACTGCTACTCAGCTTTTCGAAATGCCTACGAGGCCCTCCCCCGCACCTCCCTTCGGGAAATCTGATCACGACTACATTTTGCTCCTATCTTCCTATAGGCAGAAACTCAAACAGGAAGTACCCGTGCAAAGGACGATTCAACGCTGGTCTGAACAATCGGACTCCATGCTTCAAGATTGTTTTGATCACGCGGACTGGGATATGTTCTGGGTAGCCTCAGAATAACTTCCGACGTATACGGTGACTGAGTTCATCAGGAAGTGTGTCGGAGATGTTATACCCACTGTGACTATTAAAACCTACCCAAACCACAAACAGTGGGTAGATGGCAGCATTCGCGTAAAACTGAAAGCGCGAACCACCGCATTTAACCATGGCAAGGTGACTGGGAATATGGCTCAGACACGAGACGTATGTGGCAGGGTCTACAGACAATCACAGACTACAAAGGGAAAACCAGCCACGTCACGGACACCGACGTCTAGCTTCCGGACAAGCGAAACACCTTCGCCCGCTTTGAAGATAACACAGTGCCACCGACGTGGCACGCTACCAAGGACTGTGGGCTCTCCTTCTCCGTGGCCGACGTGAGTAAGACCTTTAAGCGTGTTAACCCTCGCAAGGCTGCCGGCCCAGACAGCTTCCCTAGCCGTGTCCTCAGAGCATGCGCAGACCAGCTGGCTGGAGTGTTTACGGACATATTCAATCTCCCCCTATCCCAGTCTGCTGTCCCCACTTGCTTCAAGATGTCCACCATTGTTCCTGTACCCAAGAGAGCAAAGGTAAATGAACTAAATGACTACCGCCCCGTAGCATTCACTTCCGTCATCATGAAGTGCTTTGAGAGGCTAGTTAAGGATCATATCACCTCCACCTTACCTGACACCCTAGACCCACATCAATTTGCTTACCGCCCCAATAAATCCACAGACGATGCAATCACACTGCACACTGCCCTATCCCATCTGGACAAGAGGAATACCTATGTAAGAATGCTGTTCATTGACTATAGCTCAGTATTCAACACCATAGTACCCTCCAAGCTCATCATTAAGCTCAGGGCCCTGTGTCTGAATCCCACCCTGTGCAACTGGCTCCTGGACTTCCTGACGGGCCTCCCCCAGGTGGTGAAGGTAGGAAACAAAACCTCCACTTCGCTGATCCTCAACACAAGGGCCCCACAAGGGTGCATGCTCAGCCCCCTCCTGTACTCCCTGTTCACCCATGACTGCGTGGCCAAGCACGCCTCCAACTCAATCATCAAGTTTGAAGACGACACAACAGTAGTAGGCCTGATTACCAACAATGACGAGACAGCCTACAGGGAGGAGGTGAGGGCCAGGAAAATAACAACAACCACCCAAATCACTGCCTGTTCACCCTGCTATCATCCAGAAGGCGAGGTCAGTACAGGGGCATCAAAGCTGGGACCGAGAGACTGAAAAACAGCTATCTCAAGGCCATCGACTGTTAAAATAGCCATCACTAGGCGGCTTCCACCCGGTTACGTAACCCTGCACCTTAGAGGCTGCTGCCCTATATAACATAGACTTGGAATCCCTGGCCACTTTAATAATGGAACACTAGTGACTTTAATAATGTTTACATATTGTTGCTTTATCCATCTCATATGGATATACTGTATTCTATTCTACTGTATTTTAGTCTATGCCACTCCGACATTGCTCTTCCTAATATTTATATATTTCTTAATTCCATTCTTTTACTTTTAGATTTGTGTGTATTGTGAATTGTTAGATATTACTGCACTGTTGGAGCTAGCAACACAAGCATTTCGCTACACCAACAATAACATCTGCTAAATACAGTACCAGTCAAACGTTTGGACGCCTACTCATTCCAGGGTTTTTCTTTATTTTTACTATTTTCTACATTGTAGAATAATAGTGAAGACATCAAAACTACGAAATAACACATATGGAATCATGTAGTAACCAAAAAAGTGTTAAACAAATCAAAATATATTTTATATTTGAGAGTAGTAGCCACCCTTTGCCTTGATGACAGCTTTACACACTCTTGGCATTCTCTCAACCAGCTTCATGAGGTAGTCACCTGGAATGCATTTCAATTAACAGGTGTGCCTTGTTAAAAGTTAATTTGTGGAATGTCTTTCCTTCTTAATGCGTTTGAGACAATCAGTTGAGCTAGTAGAGCTAAAGGCAGAGAGAGTTCTCTGCAGACCCTGAGGGACGGATTTCCCAAAACAGATTAAGCCTAATCCGGGACTAAACATTTAATGGATATTCTCCATTGAACTAGTTTTTTAGTCCAGAAAGTTAAGACAGTTAAGACCACACCCACCTCTGCTACCAAAATGCTAAGACCTTTGTTCTTAGTTTAAATTTGTGTTGCTGTTGATGTCCATTAGTGTTCTGTATTTCGTCATGTTCTATGTTTTGTGAGGAGCCCAGGAAGAGTAGCTGCTGTTTATTTAGCTAATGTGGATCAAAATAAAAATCACCACACCCACCTCTGCTACCAGGACGTTGTGCTGCATCTTCTTCCTGGACTTCATGATGCGGACGATGGCCGCTTCAATTTCGTGCTTCCTGTCGTCGTCTACCTTCTGCCGCGTCTCTTTTCTCTCAGGGTCAGACTCCCCCTGCTTAGCAGCGACTGGAGGGAGGGAGGCAAAGACAACATGTTCAGTATAGGTCATCAGGGCAAAGTCAAAGGTCAACATGCCCAGAGGTTAAATGAGGAATAGCTAAGAAGTTGAGCCTAACTGCAGGCAAAAAAGCCTTTAGCTCCCCAAACCAGAGTGGGAGACCAATGTGATACGGCCGGGTAGCTTTCAGTTTAAGAAATTCAATCTCATTAGAATAAGAGACCGACAGAATATGGATTAACATCTAAGGCCCAGACTACACACACCTGTCTGTATTTTGACTCTGTGCAGCTTTGAGGTAAACTGATCGTTGACTGTAAACACATGGCCGTTCTCGATCTCCTTGGACTTGGGCTCCTTGGTGAGGACGCGCTGGGTTGGCTTCCCGCATGCCAGCGACTGCAGCGCTCGCACCAGCTCCCTCTCCGGGATGTCTGTCTCCTGCTGGATCTCCTACAGTGGAGAAGGGAGGGAGGGGGAGAAGAGGAGAAGGAGAGAGGGGGAGCAGAAGAGAGAAAGGGGGAGGATGATAGAGAATCCAGGATTAGAGAAAGAAGGAGAAATAAAGGGAAGCAGAGAGTGCAGTAGAAAAGATGGGAGAGGAGAGGGTGAAAGGGAGAAGAAATAGAAGATTGCATTTTTCTGCTTCCCACCTTTATCTGTGATTTCTAACACTTCCATGTGATTGAGACTGACAAGCCTATACAAGTGTCTGGCTCTTACCTCGAAGGTGGACTTTTCTCTGTTGTTGAAGAGCATGAGGATGGTCATCTGGAAAGTAGAGACCTGCAGTATGTGTTTCCTGGTGTTAGAGCCTGTCACCTGTGCTCCTCCCACTCCTACCTCCGAACCATCCTCCTGTAGCGGTAGAGAGGAAAGAGACAAAGAGAAAGTGAGACAGGGTAATAAAAGTTAACTGACATTTTACAGTTTAGGAAAGCTACAATTCATGTTATTCTGAGTAGCCCCTCCATCCATTTGTGGCAGGCAGGGCCCTTTACCTTCTTGATTGGGCCGTGAAAGGTGGCGTTGAGGTCTGCTGAGCCCATGTGGTGCTGCAGTGTCAACTGTCTGCCGCTGTGTTTGGCCAAGTAGAACCTGCAGGGTGAGGTAAATAACTGGTTACAAACTATACTTTTCATCAACCAAGGTATTGGTTTACCTAGTAGTTGCATTAAAGGTGCCTGTAATGCAGTTTATTGTTTTGTTGTAATTGAAGGTGGAAAAACAACAGCAAAAAGAGAATGAATCCTACCTTCTAAAGACCTCGAAGGCGTGTCTGGGGGAGGGGGGGATGGTGCACTTGGGTGTGGCCGACTGTGTGGGCCAATAGCCAGTAGTGAGTACTCTTACGGTGAGGTCGACGCCCCCTAGACACACCTGTTGGAAATAGCAGACACACGGTCACAAAATGAAAAGGAGAACCAAGACACAAAAGGAGTCCAGGATTGAATTTATTAAACATAAACTGGAGAACATCAGACATGTTTTATATCAATGTCAGTCTTTCGTTTATGATGTAAATAGGAATTGTATGCATCATATCTTAAACCCGTGACCTGTAAGGTGTGTTTTTGCGTGACGCCTATGTACTATCAGGTGTGAGTGTTGAGAATGTGTACTATTAGGTGTGTGTTGTGAGTGGAAAGGTATAGTATTGTAACACTGTCTTACCCCCGTGGACTGTAGGTGTTGTCTGAACTCGTCCATGGTGGTGTTGGAGATGCTCATGTCTCTGAACATCCCTTCCAGTTTAGAGGTGAACTGACAGCCACACTCAGTCTACACAGAGGAGAGACAACACAGCATACTAAGTCATACTGGTTCAGGGATGGGATCAGGTCAAACATCTACAAGTTTGGCTACGATAAAGATGTAAGAACATCCTAAATTCCTGATTAATAATAAAAAGTAACAATGTAATTGAAGGGGGGCTGAACACACCGATTCAACGTTTTTCTGCTGCTCATTAAGAAAAACGAGATTTGGGTCTTGGGGATGTGGTTCGATGTGGGTGTGTTATGTTTGCATAGCGTACCCTGGCAGTTACTGGTGTTTGTCCCTCTTGAGACACCGTAGCAACAACATAGCCACGATCACTTCCTCAAAATAGTCCGAATTGATCTAAGATAAATCAAGAAATCTGTAATAAATTGACGTTTTTGCAGATGTCTTAGTCAAGCAATTTTACATCTAGCTAAGGTGTTTGGTGCAGAATTTCAAGTAAAAAAATGTGCATGTCAGTGCACTGCAGACAGTATGAGTATCGAGTCTCAACTTCATTAGCAAGTTGTCAAACTATCGTAAATAAAGCACAAGCTACACGCTGTTTGTCAGTGCCCAAAATCGCTAGCTAAGTTCCATCCCTGTGTTTGTCAATGAAGCTAGCTAGTAGTAGCTAGCCGGCACATCGAGCAGGCAGGCCACAGACAAATCAGCTCATCAAGTCACTGGCAGGTGGCGATGGGTGTGCTTTGGTGCTGTGTAGTTCTTTACAACTTTCTCACTATCTATTACCAGAGTGTGCGCCTGTCTGACATAGCGAATCATGTTACAAAACTGCTCGAGGAGGGACAAGATGCTCACGAATGGGTTTAGAATGTTGGAATACATGCGCATCGTCTCAATTCAAATTTTCCCAAAACAGTGGCAGACTCGAGTCATCACTATCAAACATCAGCAAAATGGCCACTCCATAAAGGGCTTAGAGCCAAATGTTCTTTCAACATAACATTGGCGACGTCTTGTCTTATGTAAACAAGTCAGAGTCGCTGGATAATGGAAAGGTCTGTCTCCCCATCTGGAGGTTCTGGGATTGGATAGAGCGCAATCAGCGCAGCTGTTTATCTGTGCATACCATCTTGTGTTCGTGGGCAAGGTGGTAATCCAAACCCAGCCCTTATGTATGTGGTGGTGACCTTAGTTACACAAATCTAACAAAAACTCAGTTTTGGAATATGCTGACTTTATGACCAAAATTATCCTACTTACCCTTCTTAGTCAATTTTAGCACTGGAATAAATGTTTGACTAATATCGATGCCACATACGCCGTTTTCAACCAGAGAAGTTGGATTTTGCATTCAGTTGCTCTTTAAAATCAAATGCATTAATACAAAATCAATTGGATCGAAAATGTCAACGTAATTGACAGCAGACCTGATTCGCCCTCTCCTCACCTTCAGCTTGGAGATCATATTCTTCTCGGAGTCGTCAGAGACACTCTTGTTGGTGAGCAGCCTCCGGGCCAGGTGCTGTTTATAGTACCTCTCAAACACATCCTTCTCCTGCATGAACCTGAAGAGCACCATGGCCTTGTCCAGGATGGACTCCACCTCCTGCTCCGTCAGCTGGAGATCATGCCAAAAACAGAGAGAGTTAGGATATGTTTGAATAGTCTTTTCCCCTTTTCAGAAAGTACAAAAGCATGTTTTTATGTTAATGATACAAAAAGGATGTGTGGTAAGGCAGCAACAGGTGCACTTCATGATACCCATATAGTGCACTCCTTCTGGCCAAAGCTAGTGCACTGTGGAGAATAGGGTACCATATGAGATTATCCCATTGAAGTGTAGCAATGTAAAATTTAGAAGATTAAACACTACAATGACGTACCCCCTTGACTCCCTTCTTGAGCTTGTCGTCGATGAAGAGGGAGAGGTACTCGGGGGAGCGGGAGTTTAGGTTGAGGAAGTACTCAAAGTCTCCGGCGATTGTCTGCTTGAAGAGCCGGTCGTTGTTGAACGACTCCAGGAGGAAGCGGTCGAACCGCGTCTTCAGGTCCAACAGGCCCTATAGGAGGGGTATCAAATCCAACTTTATTTAAAGGGCATTTAAAAATCACAGCACACTTTACAATAACATATACTATTAGAGTCGAAGTGGTTTACATGTCAACTCTTGGGGATGCCCTAAAAAGAGTGGTCTGGAACATTAGCTTCAATGATTATGGGGGTAGTTACTCGCGGTATTATTTCAAACAATTTAGATTTTAGACTTTTTAGTCCTTACGTTTTCCTGGTCAGGAAATACTCAGTACCCTGATTCGTTATGGGTATGTTTTGAATTTCAAAATGCCGGACAATCTTTGATTTTTGAGATTAGCCCCAGCGTACCTGGATGTAGTCGACAGGGTTCTTGCCCTCTCCCTCCTCTGACACCAGAGCCTTGCCCTGTTCCCTCAGGTAGGAACTCATACACTCACACATAGTCTTCAAGCCATTAGGCACACGGCTGAACAGCTTGTACATGCAGCCCAGGTCTGGAGAAGTAGAGAGCGAGGGAGAGGGAGAGAGAATAGATGGGTTATGAAGGAAATTCAAAGAACAACACTCAGAATTGCAACGATACATTACATTGTTTAAGCACTGTCTGTCTAACTCTGTCTGGCTTTGCCACGGTTACAGAGTTAATTTGTCAGGTGAGCATGCAGAGCTGAATAAATACATTTGAAGCAAATTGAACTGAACCTGTAAATGCCTGAGTGAGTGAGTGAGAACTTATTTATCAAGAGTGTTTGATAGAGTCAACTTGTACCAGATCATGTTCAATATTAAACAAACACTATCTTTTTAATATAGGCCTACTGGAAACCAGATAGGCTGATAGAGAGAGTGTTTTAACACTGGCAACAGCAACAAACCCACTTCACCTTCCTGGGCTGACTGGTTTCAAATATTATACTCCAAAGCTTTTTGCACTATGACCCCTATTAATGCTTTCGGATGCATTTTGTGACCCACCAGGTAACATAACCAATGCTTCAAGCTTGGAAAGTTTTAAGCCATGACCCTCAAAAAAGTATTATGGACAGGTCTGGAGACCAATTGATTAACTCTGAATAATAGTGTTGTCATGATACCAAGATTTTACTAACGATATGATATCAGGCCACGTATCAGGCCAAGTATCACGATACCGATATTCACACCTCTACTCAATACAAATGTATTTATAAAGTCCTTTTTACATCAGCAGATGTCACAAAGTGCTTAAATAAAAACCCGGCCTAAAACCCCAAACAGCAAAGCAATGCAGATGAAGGAAAAACTTCCTAGAAAGGCAGGAACCTAGAAAGAAACCTAGAGAGGAACCAGGCTCTGAGGGGTGGCCAGTCCTCTTCTGGCTGTGTCAGGTGGAGATAAGAGTACATGGCCATTAAGGCCAGATCGTATACAACACATATTGAATTAGCTTCACACTATAATAGAATACTGCATAGAATGGCTGATTTGCTCATATTTGCAAAGGCCTACCTGTGATGGCTGGAGGAATGGGAGGAAGGACTATACATGCATAACGATCTGCATGTCATTGTGACAGTAAGGGGGAAAACACTAGATGAAACCTTTACTTTTCAGTTAACACAGACAGACCTTCTCCCTCCATCCTTCCCTCACACCAGTGTTTCCTCTGGAAAAAATGTTTAGCGGTTGGGGAAAAGGTCGTGGAGGGGAGGCTGAATTTGGTTTCCCTCCACCCTATTTTGGGGCTATTTGATTTAATTTTAAAAGACCCCTTAAGGTATCAAAAACATATATATAAAAAATGATTTGAAGAAACATTGAATTTGGCATTACTGCTATTAGACCATAGAAATGCATTGAATAACAGATTCACTACATGGAACAATCAAACTAAAACATCAAAAGAAAGTTTGTTTTGAAGTGTCTGTCCAATATCTGAGACATAAGATTAGGAAACTATATATGAATTTTAAAAAAGTACATTTATTTATCCCCTTATTTTAGGCACTACACCATCTCCATATATACTTTCATTCATTTTTTAAACTGGTACTGAGGACCTTCAGACAAGTCTTGTGAGCGTCATAGAGCAACCGGCATGTACGCGTCCAACCGGCATGTACGTGTTCGTTAGAGACTCACCTTTCCACTGAGTGGTCATAATAGTTTTGTAGGCCAAACTGTTCGGACGCTTTAGAAGTTTTCTTGAGAAGACCAATTTTTCGGGATGTCTCATGGTCTTACAAACACCGCTCTAGCTCTGCCACCTTTCGCCGCAGATGCGGAAGGGCGATATCGGCGGATGCAGTGGATTGAAACGCAGCCCATGCAAAAAACAGATCTCTAGTTTAAACAGACAGAAATGGATGGGGATTTTTGTATTATGGAAATTGTAGGAGAAGGGTTCAAAATTGACATTCTACTCCAAAATGAATGAAAATAAAGCTGACATGTAATATATAATTTCCACCTCCAGAAATGAGCCCAATAACATATTGGTAAAATTATTTGTTACAATTATTTTAACATATAGGCCCATGCATATAGCCGATGCATGGTCTATATTATCAGGTATGCTATTAACAATAAGCATGATCACCTGTAGCCCAACTGACGCAGCATATTGGCTATAAATAAATAGGCTGAACAATGGGTTTTCCTATCTTCATTTACCCTATTTGGCTAATCATTAGCTAAATCCCAAATGTGATCTTTTAACTAGTTAGCATCGTATTGATAAATGTTAGGTCCCAAAAAGTGTGCATAAACACAGTGAATATATGTAGGCCTACCTGATAGGGTAAAACACCCCCTGCCTGCGCTTCTCACAGAAACCACTTAATGTAACCCCACCAACACTTTCCTTGGTTGCCACCACTCTTGCTCAACTAAAAGTAATCTGTCTCGGTCATTGACCGTGTTACATTTAGCCCCACTCTCCCCTATGAACTCACAGAGAACTGCGGAGTGGTAACGTGCTTAATCATGCCGCTACTAAAAACTTGGTTTAAAATGGTGCAGATTATCCTCTTTTTAACAAAGGCCATTAAAACTGCTGTTTTCCCCGCCATGTCAGAATGCATGTTTCCCTCCCTATGGCGCTCGCAACTTGAATGCGCCTCGAGAGGAATATTTATCTCGCATAGAACAAACAAGCCAACTAGGTAAATAGATGAACTATTCTACTATGGGCTTGTCAGATTTTTCTATTTATAACTTGTTTTGTTTGCAAATAAAAAGCAAATGTGGACTTTATTTAAAGTGGAATTAAAAATCACAGCACGCTTTACAATAACATATACACAGATCCTATTGGAGTCAAAGTGGTTTACATGTCAACTCTTGGGGATGCCCTAAAAAGAGTGGTCTGGAACATTAGCTTCAATGCTTATGGGGGTAGTTACCCATGTTACTATTTCAAACGCCTTCGATTTTACACTTTTAGTCCTTACTTTTTCCTGGTCAGGAAATACCCATAACAAATCAGGGTACAGAGTATGTTTTGAAAATCAAAATGCCTTAAATAGATAAACTATTCTACTATGGGGATGTCTGATTTTTCTATTCATTACTCGTTTTGTTTGCAAAGGAAAAGCAAAATGTGGACTGTTCTAGCATCTTCAAAGTGCGACTGCAGAAACATTTTTGGGGCGTGGCGGCAATGATTTTGCTGTGGCGCAGCGCCACAGCTAAATTACTGCAGTGGAAACACTGCCTCACACACTGTCTTTCTATCTCTCAAACACACCACTCTCGCTCTCCTACAAGCACATACACTACTCCCAACTTTAAAAACGTTAGGCACCAAACACAATTGTTTAGGCTTACATTAGGCCTATATGAATCCTACCTTTGAAGCACATCTCATGAGTAGCAGACCCTTTTCCTTTCTTCCTGTGCCAATCAAATTTGCCTAGACCTACTGTCAAGCTAGCAGCTTTTTAGCTAGCTATGTAACATGACTGAGCATTGTTGTTTGTTATCAAACCAATAATTAGCGACCCAAGATTAGTTTAAAACGTGGTTTGTTAAATTATATCAAATCCATGCCAAATCATGCAGGAAGATAAAAAGGTAGCTTCGGTAATATGTACTTTTTTTTTTTTTTTTACGTTTTCCCTAGAGAAATGTTTTCTTTGCTGTAAAGATGCAAGCATGCCGGTCACGAAGCTGTGCTCCACGTTCCTCTCTGTCACTCAGAGGATGCGTGACAGCAAACGTGCAATTGCAAAGCCTACTCAGACTGCCTCCCGAGTGGCGCAGTGGTCTAACAGTGTTAGCTGTGCCACTAGAGATCCTGGTTCGAATCCAGGCTCTGTCGTAGCCGGCCGCGACCGGGAGACCCATGGGGCGGCGCACAATTGGCCCAGCGTCGTCCAGGGTAGGGGAGGGAATGGCCGGCAGGGATGTAGCTCAGTTGGTAGAGCATGGCGTTTGCAACGCCAGGGTTGTGGGTTTGATTCCCACGGGGGGCCAGTATGAAAAATACAAAAAATAATGTATGCACTCACTAACTGTAAGTCGCTCTGGATAAGAGCGTCTGCTAAATGACTAAAATATAATGTAAAATGCTCTTGTTTATACCAGGCGATGACTTTGGTCACTCTGCGCACTGCTCCAATGTAGAACATTTACAAATGTAACACCAGAAGACTCATCAGGATCTGCATCCCGTTCGCCATCACGGCTAAATTATATTTAAAAAACTGCTGGAGGAATAGATGCGCAGGAAGAGCGGACTGAGAAGCAGATGAGTGAGGGCGGAAGGGGATGCGGCTGGTGGATTACAGCTAATACAAGTGAAAGTGAAGTGGACGTAATTGGACTGGCGCATACAAGAGACTAGTTGCTAAAATATTGGTATCATGCTTCGGTACCGTGATACCAGTATACCGTGCAATACTATTGGATAACATGCCCATGTCCTGACTCAATCTTTTAGAATTAAGATCACCCTCAGCCCAGGGACCATATTCACAAAGTCTCAGAGTAGCAATGCTGATATAGGATACATTTTCACTTTTAGATCATAATGAATAAGATGATATTGACAGGAGAAACTGATCCAGATCAGCAGTTCTACATTGAGACGCTTTTTGCAAATGGGCCCAGGTCTCCAGAAATATTTCACCACACACGCAAGGTTCTCATTAGTCTGGATTATAACGCAATTCAATCTTAATCCATCTTAATCTGATGCCTGTAAAACAAGCACGTTTTCCTTGTTTACCTTCCGTCTTGCCGTTCTTGAGCATGTGGACCAGGCCAGAGTTCTCCATCTCCACGATGGTCTTCATGTGTTTGGAGATGAGCTCCCGCTCAACCACCTTGACGATGGGTTCCTCCGTGGATTTATCCAGGCAGTGCAAAACCCGCTCTATCTCCTCGTTGATCCTGGCCTCCACCTTCTTAATGTACACACTGGCACTGTTCTCCGCTAGGAACTTCTGGCTCTCCATCTAAAGAGGGGATAGATTAGCAGAGCATGTTTGAGGATCATGTTGTTGGGGTTATTCAGCCACTCTTAGAGGGCAGAATGGAAGTTGAAACTTATGTGATCAGGGCAACATAGAAAAGCAGGAAAATCAGAGTTTTTACAAGGGAATAGGGCAGTTCCAACATGAATCCCAGATAAATGTCAGAAAAGAAGGAAATCATCTCCCAGGCTATCAAAATGACTAAGCCCGCAAAAAAATGTAGTCAGTGTGAAAAGGAAGCATCATTAGGCCATCAAGATTTGCATGACCACAAACAAAGATGTCACACCTAAATGTTGGAAAATTGCTATTTAGGGTGAGGATAGTGGGAAGCGCTACTGACTTAATGCATCTTAACGTTTTGTAATAGCTTGGTTCAGTTTGTTTTCTTTTAGCATCCATAACATCAAACAATCTCAGCAGATTTGTCCAATCACAAAAATATAAAATAAAAAGTGACATGTTGCCCAACCTACCTGGAAGAATTCTGCAGACATTTCTAAGAAGGGGGCCTCAAAGTCTTCCTCGTACACAGTCCTGCCCTCCAGGCCGAGAATCATCAGCATCTGACAGGCGTTCCTGATCGCTCCCCTGTACATGAATAAAAACCATATGGTAAGGATTTTGAGTTTTATGACTCCTTACACAACCACAGATTCTTCAAAAGAGATCACATTGACAACAACCACAGAGTAAAAACCATATGCCAGAGTGGTCATGGTGTGGGTATTCATGTATTAGGCTCGGCTGTGTATCTCCCAAGTTGAGAGCATACAAACAAGGTCAGTGCTCTGTGAATAGGTTATGCTACCGCCCTTATCATAGGCCTACATACTAAACAGCCAAAGAAACATACGGAGCCGTTTTAAAGCATAAACCTTACATCACACAGCCAGCCATTGTCACCCAGCACATGACCTTCATACACCAGCCTCACCAAATAGCCACTACCTGGTAAACAGTAGCAGGACCTGTATTCACAAAGCATTGAGTAGGAGTGCTGATCTAGGATCATGTCCTCCCCGTCTTACTCAATATAATCTGTAAGGCAAAACTGATCCTAGATCAGCACTCATACTCGGACAATTTGTGAATAGAGAGCCAGGTCTTTCTTTTGTTAGACATATCCTAGAACAGTCCTTACCTATCCACCACCTCTCCCTTCCTCTCCCGTGCGATCATGTCCAGCAGGGTCTGGCGGAGGTGGTCTCGGATGCAGCCGTAGCGCACCACCTGGTCTCTGAAGATGATCAGGCCCAGGTTGTACACGTTCTCCACGTTGTTCTGCTGTACGTACACCCGGTCCTGGAGTGGAGAACACCACATTAGAGATCAGTTAGAATAGAACACATTTGAATATTTTGTCCTCCAAGGAGCAAATTATTTTCAGTTACGTAGAGCTTACTTTACGCAAATGAAAAGTTCATGCAGGGGTAAGGGGGAGAGATGAAGGAATCAGCAGAATGTCTTATTTTCGGCGTTGAAAAGCCATATATGATACTGGATAGGCAGGTCAGACTAACCAATACAAATCTATACTCGTCTGTATACATGAGAAAAAGAGAAACAAAATAATTCCCTTAGAGAACTCTGCAGTCTCAATTGCGGCTGTGTCATTGCGGCTCATGTCCCTCCACCTCCAAGGCGCGTGCGCTCTCACACAGTAAACACACACACACACCCACCCATCCACACAGCCTTACTGCTACAGTAAATGAAGCACAATTCTCAAACTGGATAGATAAAACAGTAGCTCTTTGTTCTGCCCAGGGCAAACAGCTACTAGAAGGCTGAGCCTGCCCAGTCCCCGGCCACCCGCCCGTAGGTGAGGAGAGTCTGCCAGGGTCACGACTTCATAAGAGGAAACTATTATTTACACTTCAAGGAAATACTCGAGACAGCTTTCTAGAGAAGCAATAGTACTGATTAGGCCTATCTGAGGTTTTAAATATCTTCAGAATCATTCAGGACTAGAATTCAGGAATTCTGCAGATTCATTCAAATCATGCATATTTTCAAGCATATTCCCGCTATACAGACTGTGGTTGTGGTTGGCATGGACACTCCAATTCAGTCTCACAACAAAACGGTTGTTCTTCAATCGTTAAATAACCATACGATAAGACAGAAAGCAGGCCACCTACCATGTACATGAGGATGTCTCTGATCATGACCATTGCAGTCTGGTGATCGTTCCACGCTTGATTCAATGTCTGCAGAAAGTTATTGTTTAATGAGTTGAGGACATCTTCCCGTACCTGTGGAAAGACATAAGTATTGATAACGACAGAAGCTATATCTTTGCTGAGACTATGTTGAAGTTGCCTGTAGACACTGATCTAAAGTCCATTTTTGAGTTTCCACCATAATGGTAAAGGTTAGGATTGAAGGTGGATGAACTTATCCTAGATCTGTGCCTATGGGCAACTTCTACCCTGGACTCTGTGTTGGCACAGCTGGGGACTGACAACATGTGGACATACAGGTAATGACCCCAGCTATCTGGCTGTATGCTAAATGTTATATTCATGAGAGGAGGCGACGCTAAATGCAAAATTCCAATGCAACCAGCGGGTGGTTCATACTTGGATGGATGCAAAACAAGGTGCATAGGAATTAGCCCCCCAGACAGAATACAATGCTACAGCTATACTAATGGATCAAGAGAGAGTTTGATCAAGTTTGTCTGTTTGGTTTCGAGTGTGGTCAGTTCTCATGTAGGCTATATGGCTCTGATCCATCATCCATCTATCTTTTATTCGATCAGGGGAGTTTCGCTGTACTTAATTTGCTAACTGGATTGCACTGTGGTGTGTGTACAGGCTCACCACTGATTTTGCATATCAAATTGTGTGCTTTAAAAAGGGTGAACATTACAAGTACTACCAGGAGTTTCTCGACCACATGACCTGAACAGGAAAAATACTGGGCCCTAGTATTTGTCAGGTCACGTAACCAGGAAAAACACTGGGCCTAATTCGCTAGGAAAGTGACCACCCTCTTCCGCTTTACTTCCGTATCAAGTCCCATACTGTTTTGAATGGGATTCAAGATTGTATAATCAAATTCATGAAAACACAGTCATTTAAAGGGAGACTTTGGGATTTTGGCAATCTACTTCCCCAGAGTCAGATGAACTTGTGGATACCATTTTTGTGTCAAGTAAGAAGGAAGTTAGAGGTAGTTTTGCGAGCCAACGCTAACTAGCGTTAGCACAATGACTAAGTATATGGGTATCTGCTAGAGTGCTAGCAGATAGCGCAATGACAGGAAGTCTATGGGTAACGCTAGTTAGCAATTGCCCTAGCGTTAGTTAGCAACTTCCTTCAAACTGTACGCAGAGACATAAAAATGGCATCCACGAGTTCATCTGACTCTGGGGAAGTAGATAAAGGGCCAAAATCCCGAAGTATCCCTTTAAGATATACAAATTATATTCCTGTTTGTGGATTAATTTACTTCTACCACACGCCTTTTATGAAGATCTTCAATTGTGTGCTTCAATTGCACTTGAAGACCATTCAAAATAACGAAAAAACTTGATAAGCTACATGGAGGGGGGGCGGGGGGTTACTTTCATAGCGTATTATGGGAAATGCTTTCTATAAGATAAATACAGTAGTGCATTGTGGGAAGCGTAGTCTTTTACTTTGTTGATGAGGTGCTCGGTGACGACCTCGCGCAGGCCCGTGTAGAGCTTCTCGCCGTGCTTGTGCAGCACCATGGTGTAGGCATTCCTGTAGAGCTCCTCGAAGCTCAGCCCGCTGTTGTTCTTCCTCTGGATCTCCTGGATAGCATTCTTCAGGAGGTCCCAGATGTTGTTGACATACTTCTCATCCATTGTCATCTAGGGGAGAGATAGCAGTAGGACAAAATGACGGAGAAAATTATACCAGAAAAGTTCAACCCTTTTCACCTGTGTCTGTTCATTCTTACAAAGTGTTGTTTCCTCGTGCTGCAAATCTGCACAGATGAGACATGTCTCATAAAAAGGTGCTCAAGTAAGGCTGTGATCAACAAATCACCCACAAGATGGGCTTGCGCCTAAAACTTGATTGAGTGACAATAACAGGGGAAAAAACAAAAACAGCCCATTTTGACTTCACAATGACTTAATCGTGGCAGTTGGAGCAAACCTTGTGTGGACACATTTAAAACAAACAACGCCATTCGCCTATAATTAGGGATGTCGGTGTTGCTCATTGGTAGAGAAAGAGAGAGAGTAATTAAAGGTTGTTGCAATAGAAAATCAAGTGACTAGGCTAATTGTGGTCAAAACATTTGTATTAGGCATTTTGTGTAGGTTGTGATGGTACAACACACATGAGAAGTTAAATACAAATAGCATGATGTAAGCCTAGGCGGGGGTTTTTTGTATTGGAAATTATCAATAGCAGAATGTACACAGCAGGAAGTTAAATATTTGTATGCATTAGCCTACATGAAAATTATAATAAGCTATAACATTAATGCAGCGATGCTCCATCACTACAACAAACCAGTGGAGTTGTTATGCTAGCCTGCCCGCATAAACACATAATTCAGCAGAGAATGTGTTCGGGAAAAGTGTCATGTCATTTAATAGTTGGGTAGGTGCAGAAGAACTCCAGCCACAACTATACACCTACTAGAGGCTAGGGCTGGAGGTTATAACTTTGACTTCATTGTTTGTCTACCGGAGATGGCTGTTCAACTCACACTTTGACACATGAGGAGTAATGGGGGTGGGGGGGGAGACAGAAAGAGAAATAGCCTGAGTCAGAGTTTAAAAAGAGAGAGGGCCATTCCATCAAGTCATTCCTCCACACTGAGTGCCTCCCCTTCAGAAAGTAACTATATAATCCGTCCCATTATTTTTGGGCCAACAACTGAACTGAGGGGTAAACAGGATGCTCCAATAAGTGCCAAGGGGAAAAACTGCCTAAAAAAAGTTACCTGTTTTTCACAGCAGTCTGAGTCACAGCCTGTACAGGCATGCAAGCCACCCCCCCCACCCCACCCTCACCCTTTACCCTCAGAACAGCTTCAATTTGTCGGGGCATGGACTAAAACAAATCCTTCTTTAACCCTTCATCTACACTGATTGAAGTGGATTTAACAAGTGACATCAATAAGGGATCATAGTTTTCACTTGGTCAGTCTGTCATGGAAAGAGCAGGTGTTCTTAATGTTTTGTATACTCAGTATATGTGATTGTATACAAATGTAAGCAAGGGTTGAAATTATTATGTTGTAGTCAAACTCAGCAAAAAAAGAAACGTCCCTTTTTCAGGACCCTGTCTTCCAAAGATAATTTGTAAAAATCCAAATAACTTCACAGATCTTCATTGTAAAGGGTTTAAACACTGTTTCCCATGCTTGTTCAATGAACCATAAACAATTAATGAACATGCACCCGTGGAACGGTCGTTAAGACACTAACAGCTTACAGACGGTAGGCAATTAAGGTCACAGTTACGAAAACGTAGGCACTAAAGAAGCCTTTCTACGGACTCTGAAAAACAACAAAAGATGACCAGGGTCCCTGCTCATCTGCGTGAATGTGCCTTAGGCATGCTGCAAGGAGGCATGAAGACTGCAGATGTGGCCAGGGCAATACATTGCACTGTGAGACGCCTAAGACAGCGCTACAGGGAGACAGGACGGACAGCTGACCATCCTCGCAGTGGCAGACCACGTGTAACAACACCTGCACAGGATCAGTACATCTGAACATCACACCTGCGGGACAGGTACAGGATGGCAACAACAACTGCCCGAGTTACAACAGGAACGCACAATCCCTCCATCAGTGCTCAGACTGTCCGCAATAGGCTGAGAGAGGCTGGACTGAGGGCTTGTAGGCCTGTTGTAAGGCAGGTCCTCACCAGACATCACCGGCAACAACGTCGCCTATGGGCACAAACCCACCGTCGCTGGACCAGACAGGACTGGAAAAAAGTGCTCTTCACTGACGAGTCGCGGTTTTGTCTCACCAGGGGTGATGGTCAGATTCAAGTTTATCGTCGAAGGAATGAGCGTTACACCGAGGCCTGTACTCTGGAGCGGGATCGATTTGGAGGTGGAGGGTCCGTCATGGTCTGGGGCGGTGTGTCACAGCATCATCGGACTGAGCTGGTTGTCATTGCAGGCAATCTCAATGCTGTGCGTTACATGGAAGACATCCTCCTCCCTCATGTGGTACCCTTCCTGCAGGCTCATCCTGACATGACCCTGCAGCATGACAATGCCACCAGCCATACTGCTCGTTCTGTGTGTGATTTCCTGCAAGACAGGAATGTCAGTGTTCTGCCATGGCCAGCGAAGAGCCCGGATCTCAATCCCATTGAGCACGTCTGGGACCTGTTGGATCAGAGGGTGAGGGCTAGGGCCATTCCCCCCAGAAATGTCCGGGAACTTGCAGGTGCCTTGGTGGAAGAGTGGGGTAACATCTCACAGCAAGAACTGGCAAATCTGGTGCAGTCCATGAAGAGGAGATGCACTGCAGTACTTAATGCAGCTGGTGGCCACACCAGATACTGACTGTTACTTTTGATTTTGACCCCCCCTTTGTTCAGGGACACATTATTCAATTTCTGTTAGTCACATGTCTGTGGAACTTGTTCAGTTTATGTCTCTGTTATTGAATCTTATGTTCATACAAATATTTACACATGTTAAGTTTGCTGAAAATAAACGCAGTTGACAGTGAGGACGTTTCTATTTTTGCTGAGTTTATATCGGTTTGGGCTAATTGCAGTCAACTTGCATTCTACAAAATTATTTGTCATTATGGTCCGGCCCCCTGACCATCCGCTGAATCTAGTTGATGATCCCTGACATAGGCCCTAGACACACACACTACACTGAAAGGAGCACTTTGGTGGGCCTACATTTGCAAGTTCTAATGTGCCAGTAATAAACTGGGGGCCAAGCAGTTGTGTAAGGTGAAAAGCTTCTCCCTACTTCTAAACTAGGCCTTATCCTCATACTCAGTTATTATTCTCAGTGGGGCTGTGGCAGGTTAGTCTGGCTAACACCTAACTCTCAAAGTCCTCCGGACTTCTGAGTCTGGAATGGCTCTTTGATGCTGTGGTCACAGCTCTCAATGTGCTTTAAGTCACGTGGCTCGCGTCAGCCAGACTAGCTGCACGTATGCAGGCAGGCAAAAACTGCATTTCCCATACCCTGGCTACATGTCCATGTCCACACAGACTGAGTGTGTGGTCACACAAGCACTCACATGGCCACCCTGCCGCTGTTATTCCTGCAGCATTCAAGCTGTCAGAGTGTAACACTGTGTGTGTGTGTGTGTGTGTGTGTGTGTGTGTGTGTAAAGGACCGCGATAAACAGAGAGAGAGAGCGAGATATTCAGGGACTGAGATGGAGTACACTTCTGGCTAAGCCCAGGGCCCTGACTGCAATGTCATTCCTTCACACATGCAGCCAAATTCTGGCATCCAACAATGTGGGGCTCCTCTCAACAACAACAAAAAAGACTACTCCAGCACAGTTCTCCATGTTTAGCTAGTTCTGCAACATAGCAGGCCTAATTTTAAATGTCTATAAATAGTCACATCTCCAAAAAACACCTAATAAACTTTGACAAATGGGCAAAGGAAAAATACTATTTGATCACCAAATAAAAGTAAATCAATAATAGAGAACTAAACTCCACTCTAAGCAACGTTGTGTAATGCGTGTCTTGATCAACGGAAGCTGTTGACAAAAATAACCAAACCACTAGGTAATGTTAGCTAACATTAGTAGTTAGCTGTGCTCCTCGATTAGCTAACGTTAACCTTTTCAAAGTAGGCCAAGATAATTAATTGGTTCTGACGGACAACAGATTAGTGGCAGCTAGCTAGCAAGTTATATACTGTACGTTTCTGTAGCTGAATAAACAACGATTTACGATGGAGTTGAGTGGCGACTAATTTGGGCGGACAGGAGCTCCGACGTAAATTTTTTACACAGGATTGTGTGTGAGGTCGGAGCTCTAGTCCGCCCACACTAGTCGCCGCTCAACTCCATCGTAAATCATGGGGTTGAGTCGGCTACCCTCTCTGGTACCTTTAGTATTTTTTGGCTGGGTAGTTAACTAGCTAGCTGCACAGCTAAGGAACTAGCTACCTAGCCAGTCAGCTAATGGTGCATTTAAGATTTGCGCATGGGTGTCCTAGAAGTCTACAATGCGGAGTCTGGAAAAGTGGCATTTTTCTTAGGAAGGGGTACTTGTAAAATCCTGTTAGACATCTATAATCCGCAACTCCTTGTCCATCCAGTCTGTATAATGTGCAGATATCTTTAAAGAAACTGTCTGAGCCAAACTTTTCTACAAACCGGCACCTATACACAATCCGGAAGGACGGTCAAGGAATTACGGATTATAGATATGCCTTCAGTAACAGGATTTTCGGAAGCATGTACCCCTCTAAAGCATTTTGCTAGTTATTTTCCAGGCTCTCCTTGAAGCCTTCTAGGACACCAACGCGTGAATGCTCTGCATCCTATATAGACCCAGTCGGTATTAGATAGAACGTTGCAGCCCCTCCCGCCTGAGGTGAAAACAACCTCTGGTTACCCCATTGGCTCACAGCAAATATTTTGCCTTTTTCAAACATTAAATGTTTTGTCTGCTTGTTTTAGTCAATTACAAAACCACATTTAAGCAAAGTAGAACATGTTTAAAGATTACTTTTAAGCATTGCCTGCTCCCGAGTGTTCTCACTACTTAGAAAAATGTAATATTGTGGGGCTGCCCCTTTTCATGACGCTGCTAGCAGCCACATGAGTGAGTGCTAGCTACCAACCGGAACATTAAGATAGCCAAAAACAACACAGACTACAAAGCTACAAGTAGTGAGTGGCGTAACAAACAGACTATACTAAACAAATGTTTTCCCACACGCACAGCTACGTGTAGCCTACTTGGACACAGTCCCCACTTCGAATAACCAGAAGCCACAGGACTCTTCTCGCAGGCTCTATTTCCCTACATGGGAGCATTGCGAACCATAGGTCTGGATTTTTGACCTGGTAACATGTACATTGAACACAGCAGCTTTACAGCATGTTTTGTTATTTCTATATAACAAAAAATAAATCTACACCTCAGATGGCTCTTTTACACTGGAGGTCAATGGGAAATAATGTTTTCCTCAATTTGTGGGTGTGGCCGAGGGAATTCCTTATTATTATGTGAGAGGAAGAGGAGAAACAAGATGGGAGAGCGTAACGAGTGACGGTGGATGCTGGTTGGAAGAGCACGCTTATTTGAAATGGAAAAGCGTCGCCGTAGCTATTGATAAAGAATAACATCAAGACGCGCTCTGTGGGATGCACTGTTGAGCGCTACATCCCGAGGGGTTCGTGCTGATTGTACGGAGATTGTGACAGCCAGTTAAATGACGTCCCTTGAGAAGGTAAGAACAATATGCATTTCAGGAGAAGTGCAGTATTATCATAAGGAGACTTACACTTGGAATACGGAGGAGGAATGGAAGGAAAAAGAGAGGCAGAGGAGGTCTAAGAGAGAGAGGGAGGAAGAGGGTGATTTTGAGTCTGTAAAAAATGGCAGAAAAAAGGGAGATGGTTTGTTAAAGAAGAATTGTAGAAAGTGTAAGCAGAGTGAGCTGAAGACAGGAGGAGAAACGGAAGTGAATGAGGGCGAAGTATCGGAGGTGGTAGGTGTGGTGAAGTTCTTGGAGCCCGAGGGTCAGGATAAAGATGAGTCTGGGACAGTAGGAGTGAAGTTTTTGGGAAAAGTGGAACGTTGTCTTTTGGCTGATCCATTTGTAGTTTCAGGGTGGGTGAAAACAGAGTTGGGTGCTGTGGAATCGGTGAGGGTAACCAGAAGTGGTCTTGTGATAATTGTTTGCGTTTCTGCTCGTCAGAGGGAGAAGGCGCTCCGCGTTAAACGAATGGGGGCAAGAGATGTGAATTGTTTTGAGCTCAAGAAAAGGGCGCCATTGAAAGGAGTGATTACTGGGGTAGCAGTAAATGTAAAAGTTGACCAACTGAAAGGGAAGATTCCCGGTGTTTGTGATGCTCATTTGGTGCGACGCAGACAGGGTGGTGTGAGTGGTGAAACATAAGAGTCATTGTCTGTTCTTTTCAGTTTTGATGTTGAGTCTTTGCCCGACAAAGTGATGTTAGGATATAGAAGTTATTCTGTACAAGCTTTTGTGCCGAATACATTACGTTGTTACAGGTGTCAAGCTTATGGGCATGTGGCAGCAGTGTGTAGGAGGGAGGTTCCTAGGTGTGCAGAAGGGCATGAGACAAAGGAATGTGTAGCATTGGGGAATGTAGTGGTATGTGTTAATTGTAGGGGTACCCATGGGGCTGGGGATCAGAAATGTCCCGTGCAAGAGAGGAAGGTTGAGGTTTCCAGGGTTAGAGTAGTGCAGAAGTTGTCATATGCTGAGGCAGTGAAGAAAGTAGCGTGTAGCTCTGTTGGTAGAGCATGGCGCTTGCAATGCCAGGGTTGTGGGTTCGATTCCCACGGGGGGCCAGTATGAAAAAAAAAAGTATGCACTCACTAACTGTAAGTCGCTTTGGATAGGAGCGTCTGCTAAATGACTAAAATGTAAGATAGGTCAAGGGGGAGGGATCCTGAGAGGAGTGGTGTGAGTAGTAGATATGTACCAGTACAGAGGGATAGGCCAACAAGTGATATGTTTCAGTAAGATTAGATTTTTAGCATTTATAACAATGGTTATTAACTGTACTGCAGGGATGGAACGTAAGTCGCAGAAAATTGAAGTTGTGGTGGCAGCTGCAGAGAGGTATTTGGGTGTGCGAGACTTGACATTAGAAGAGTTACATGGTGTGTTAAGTGGTGGTGTCCCATCCTTTCAGGTTGTTGGCCAGAGATAGGACTAAATAGATTTAAATAGTGGAGTAGGGTGGTGTTATTTTTATTTTTTGTGAGTGTAGTGTTAGATGGTAGGGTATTTGTTTATTTTTTCAAGCAAAGTATAAAGGGAGTTGTACTCCAGTCTAGTAGGTGGCGGTAACGCAACATTTATTGGCTGCCAACCGCTGTTAAACCTTATCGAAGAAGAAGCAAGACGTTTACTCCACCCAAAATCTGTCCACAAAAATAACACCACAAAGTGAGAAATATTTGTATGGAGGTCAATGCAAGTGTCAAATTTGGTCAACAAAAAATTGTATTGCTCATTTGCTTTGCGAGGCTTATTTTATCTAATATAAGTTTCGTAATGGTTAGGTTGTTACGAATGCACTGATATATGTGGACGCACGTGGAATTTCAGCCCCCCCAAAAAAACTACTTTATATCACTGGTTGCACTGGACTATCTTGTCAATATAATTGATCATCTTCGGCTACGTTCAAGAAACTGGTTCAAGACAACTCGGAAGTGTCCGACTTGTAAAATCTTTGTCGAAAGTTGAGGCCCGAGTTTCACACTTAGATAGTATCAGAATCAACCAATAGGAAGCTCTACCCAAATACTTATGTTAATTGTAACTCGGAGGTTCCGAGTTTCCAAGTTGTCATGAATGCAACACATCTATCCTAGCTAGCTGGCTAACTAGCTTAACAACTAACGTTAGCTATCTAACGTTGGTCAGGCTGAATGATAATCAGAACAACCTCCGCTAGCTACATATTTAAAGTGGCATTTCTCGAGTTAGCTAGTTACTAACTAGCTAGCTAAATTGATAAAGACTGGCGAACTTGGTAGCCTAGCTAGCTATGTAGCCAAGTTAACGTTAACATGGTAACCTTCTAGCTAACGTTAGATAGTTGACATTGTTAGTTAGCATAGCTAGCCATCTAGGTAGTCAGTTAGCTACGTTCATCTGGGAACTAGTTAAGTTAGCTAGCTGGTTGACAATATGTGTAGTTACCTAACTAGTTTGTCAGCAACACTGCAAGTTAGCTAACGTAAACTAGTAACGTTAGCTAGTTCGATAGTAGTGGATATTTTCCAGTTTGCACATAGTTAACAGAACCCGATCGAATCAATGATTATCAAGCTAGCTAGCTAGCCAGCCAACGAGCGATTATGAATCAACGCAATAGGAAGCGTAGCTAGTTGTTAGCAGACAGTGAAATGTATTTGTTCAGTTAGTCTGGCCTATTTTGAGCATCAAACAGGTAGCAAGTGATATCCCCGGTACTCGCGTCTCAGCGTACCCGGCCAGTACTTACAGGAAAGGCTCTTATCCTCATCTTGGTGTCTTTCTTGACGCCGCCTTTGAGGTTGGACATGATTAGTTAGTACGTCCGTCGTCTCTACGTTAACATGAAATACTATTTCAGGCTGCAACAGGGAGGCCTTCAAATGCAAAGTGGTAAAGATCTCCCTCGACCTTCCCCTTGGGTTTGGGTCCGTCTCTCGGCGCTGTTGTTGTCACTCTTCTCTCAAATGTTGCCTAGCTTCTCTTGCAGTGATGGCGGACAACAATCTTCTACTGCGCAGTGCTAACGGCGCACCGAAATCACGCGAGATTAACCGTCGAAAAAATAAATTCACAAAAAGATACAGAACGTTCATCCTCCTCATTTAACAAATTGGAACTATGTCCAATTATGATAGTCTCTCACTGTAAAATATTAGATTTAACTTGTATTGAAAAGTTATGTTTGAATACAATCTAGCATTCTTTACACTCATTCGCTATTTAACTACAATACTTTATTGAGTAGTCAGTGCCCATGCACTAGGCCTGTCTACTATGATGAGATAGCCAATAGGCTACGGTCTCAATCACATGATCGATCGCCTACTATTTTGTTACGTTTAAGTAGGCTACCAGTGTGCATGGGTATGTGGCATTTACCATGCATATGGCTACATACAACAAGACACCGTGCTAATGTAAACAGGGGTATTGTGATGTTACTAGGCCTAATAGTATGACAGGGTAGGATCCCCAGTTTCTGTCCATGTTTCCCATTGGACCCTAAATCAGGGTTGGGGAGTAACTGATTACATGTAATCAAATGTTACATGTAATCCAATTACAAAAAAACTAACTATAATCAGTTACTTTACCAGCAAAAATATTGTAATCAGATTACTGATACTTTTGAAAAACGAGATGATTACTTATTGGATTACTTTTAAATTCAGAAAGGAGGTTTGCAGGGGGGAAATACATCAGAGACCACTATGATGACACACCAAGTGAGTTTGATGGATCCTTTTTGTCTTCTTCATAATGCCTCTTGGGGGAAAATAATCAAAAAGTAACTGAAAGTAATCAGATTATGTTACTGAGTTTTTGTAATCCAAAAATTCCGTTGCCGATAACAATTTTGGACAGGTAACTAATAACTGTAACTAGTAACTGTACATTTAGAAAGTGATCTACCCAACCCTGCTCTAAATATTTGTATTTTATTTTTCAATACTTTAAATTGACCGAACGGCACCAGAACATCAAGATGAAATGTATTTAGAATTTTGTTCCAGCAATACAGTACATTAAAACTGAAAGCAGATTTACCTAGCTCGGTGGAGACCCTAGGAACCTCAAGAGTTAACCAATCCTGTGAACGGGTTAGGCAACTCAGGTGTCTATACTTCAACAGCAAAGTTAGATAAGACGGAAGTTTATGAAGTAGGGCCTTACAAACAAAAAGGGAGTAATGTCTCAGATAACCTTTTGACACAGGATGCAGTGATGAGTATCAAAACTGTCACCTGTAATAAAACAAAGGGGCACTATGGTAGATGGCATCCAAAGGTTTAAGAGTAGTAGCAGCTGCACTTTGATAAATAATATCACTATAATCAAGAACAGATAAAAAGGTTGACTGAATAATTTGCTTCCTACTGCTAAGAGAAAGGCATTATCTGTTTCTATAGAAAAAGCCAACTTTAAATCTTAGCCTCTTAACCAGCTCATCTATATATTTTTTAAACGTCAAATCCATATCAATCCAAATGCCTAAGCATTTATATGTGAGAAAACGTTTGATTGAAGAACCATCTTATGAGTGAACATGTAGTTCATCTGAAACATTATTTTTTATTTTTTATTTTTTAGGGGGTAGATCAGCTTTAAAATTGCAGATAGATTGTAACTTCCATCAATGTAATTGTCTGCATCACTTCCAATCCCCCATATGTTTTTTGTTTTTTTCTCACTCACACACACACATATATATATATATATATATATATATATATATATATATATATATATATATATATATATATATATATACATATCCTTTAAAAATATATATATTTCCCTTTATTACTTTCCAACCCCACCATCCCTTCCCTAATTGGAGTAAACTAGTGAACAACAATGCTTAGGCCTCTACTTCATGCTTATACATACTATATACATTTTAAGGACACAGTCAATAATTATATTTTGTTTGTTTTTACTCCTGAACTTCCTCCGATCATTTTCACGATGTCCATCTGGTATGCTTCTATATGCCATATATGTCTAACTGTGCTCTTTCACAAAAGCTCACAACATATAACCTATATACTTATTATGGACACAGCATGTCTTACACTAGTTATCTTGTTTTTATTAGTTGTTGTTATTAGTCCCATCCTTCAGCTCCATTCAACACCTCCCATCTATCTCTTAACACCATCCATATTGGATTTCTATTTTGCCATATATTTTTCAACTGTACTGTGATGTTTTACAAAAGTTCTGAACCTTTCTATTCTCATTGTTTCTACAGTTTGTGAATTGAAAATATTTTTTTTTGCTAAAAGTATTATTATATTATTGATCGATTGACTATGACTTTTCAGATCACCCAGTAGTGCTATCTACAGGGTCAGCTCCATGCAAATATTGCAATCCTTCAGCCAGAAACAAGCTACAAATGGACAGTATCAAAACAAATGATCTAATGATTCTGTCTCTTCACAGCAAAATCGGCAGAGCTGGAAAGATTGTATCTCCCATACAAATAACATTCTATTGGTAGCAAGAATTTTATATAATAATTGAAATTGAAAAATTCTACATTTTGAATCCGGCGTCATTTTGCGTATCAGTTCATAAACACTATGCCATGGAATCGGTACGTCAAAAAATCTCTTCCCAACTATTTTGCAATCTATATGGGACGGCTGTCAATCTTTTGGTCCTTAAATGAAACTGGTAAACTTCTTTATTTATCACAATTTTCTTTAACCAATTATGTTCTTTAATGCAAGGCCGACAGACAAGTTCCTTACTTTTTCCTCCTTCCACTTTCCTCTTCCATTTTTGCGGTAATGCTGCAATTATTTGGTTGTAATTTTGGGTAGAGCAGACATTTCCATATGTTTTTGTTAGCTGCATGTGTGACATAACTCCACCATTCCTACCGATTACATTTACATTACATTTTAGTCATTTAGCAGACGCTCTTATCCAGAGCGACTTACAGGTAGTGAATACATATTTTTTTTATACTGGCCCCCCGTGGGAATCGAACCCACAACCCTGGCGTTGCAAACGCCATGCTCTATCAACTGAGCTACATCCCTGCCGGCCATTCCCTCCCCTACCCTGGACGACGCTGGGCCAATTGTGCGCCGCCCATGAGTCTCCCGGTCGCGGCCGGCTGCGACAGAGCCTGGATTCTAACCAGGATCTCTAGTGGCACAGTTAGCACTGCGATGCAGTGCCTTAGACCACTGCGCCACTCAGGAGACCGATAATATCATTTACGAAGATTATACATTTTTTCTAAAAAAAGAACGGTTTTTTATCAATTAGTATATTTGAGTTTAACCACAATATTTGTTGCAATATTTGTTCTGTCATTTCTGGAGGATTAAATTGAAATTGCAACCAACATTCTATGGCTTGTTTTAGAAATAGTGATATTTGGGAGATTATTTCCTTTTCAAATACCTGAAAGTGAAGGGTTGTAATCTGAATAAAGGGAAAAAGTCCCTTCTTGAACATTGGGTGAGACAATCTTACTAGTTTGCTAGAGAACCAGTTCGGATTTAAGTATAATTTTTGTATGACTGAAGCTTTTAGTGATAGGTCTATTGCTTTAATATTTATTAATTTCTGTCCTCCTAATTTATATTAATTATATAAATAGGCCCGTTTAATTTTATCTGGCTTGGAATATTTTTTTCTCATATAATTTAAAAAACTGTTCGCTAGGCGTAGGCAAGACCATAAGCAAACAAGTAAACTGGGATAATACTAAAGATTGTTATGGAGTGAGATCATTTACAGTGGGGAGAAAAAGTATTTGATACACTGCCGATTTTGCATGTTTTCCTACTTACAAAGCATGTAGATGTCTGTAATTTTTATCATAGGTACACTTCAACTGTGAGAGACGGAATCTAAAACAAAAATCCAGAAAATCACATTGTATGATTTTTAAGTAATTAATTTGCATTTTATTGCATGACATAAGTATTTGATCACCTACCAACCAGTAAGAATTCCGGCTCTCACAGACCTGTTAGTTATTCTTTAAGAAGCCCTCCTGTTCTCCACTCATTACCTGTATTAACTGCACCTGTTTGAACTCGTTACCTGTATAAAAGACACCTGTCCACACACTCAATCAAACAGACTCCAACCTCTCCACAATAGCCAAGACCAGAGAGCTGTGTAAGGACATCAGGGATACAATTGTAGACCTGCACAAGGCTGGGATGGGCTACAGGACAATAGGCAAGCAGCTTGGTGAGAAGGCAACAACTGTTGGCGCAATTATTAGAAAATGGAAGAAGTTCAAGATGACGGTCAATCACCCTCGGTCTGGGACTCCATGCAAGATCTCACCTCGTGGGGCATCAATGATCATGAGGAAGGTGATGGTTCAGCCCAGAACTACACGGCAGGACCTGGTCAATGACCTGAAGAGAGCTGGGACCACAGTCTCAAAGAAAACCATTAGTAACACACTACGCCGTCATGGATTAAAATCCTGCAGCGCACGCAAGGTCCCTTTGCTCAAGCCAGCACATGTCCAGGCCCATCTGAAGTTTGCAAATGAACATCTGGATGATCCAGAGGAGGAATGGGAGAAGGTCATGTGGTCTGATGAGACAAAAATAGAGCTTTTTGGTCTAAACTCCACTCGCCGTGTTTGGAGGAAGAAGAAGGATGAGTACAACCCCAAGAACACCATCCCAACCGTGAAGCATGGAGGTGGAAACATCATTCTTTGGGGATGCTTTTCTGCAAAGGGGACAGGACGACTGCACCGTATTGAGGGGAGGATGGATGGGGCCATGTATCGCGAGATCTTGGCCAACAACCTCCTTCCCTCAGTAAGAGCATTGAAGATGGGTCGTGGCTGGGTCCTCCAGCATGACAACGACTCGAAACACACAGCCAGGGCAACTAAGGAGTGGCTCCGTAAGAAGCATCTCAAGGTCCTGGAGTGGCCTAGCCAGTCTCCAGACCTGAACCCAATAGAAAATCTTTGGAGGGAGCTGAAAGTCCTTATTGTCCAGAGACAGCCCCGAAACCTGAAGGATC